CTTTACTTTGCACTTTTCCTCTTCTGCTTATCCTAATATTTTAGATTCTATTTGGACCTGAAACATCTGCTAGACTCCAGGAAAGGTGGCGTCAATACTGGACCTGAAAGGGCCTAACAAGTTGAATCTGGTAAAGAAACATGCATGCGCGCACACACGCACGCACGCACACGCTTACAGAAAACTGTTGTTTATGAAGTTTATGAATATTTTTTTACACTGTGGCCAATATTTTGGGGAAGTCAGCATCACTAAATGATATAAACGATTTTAAGCTCCTCTAAATTTAGCTCCAAGTGTTGTGTTAAATTCAGGATTCTGGACAGACAGCTGTCTGTTTTTCCAGTTCTAGTCATAGTGGTTAACCTAATTGTTTTTGGAGATCCAACAGTGATGTGTGTGTTTTTTCTACTTTTCCATATCCTGTCACCTCAACCAGCTGGGAGAGTCAAGTTGTGGATCATCATGAAGATTTTCAAAAGGTGAGTTTAGATTTCTTGAATGTTTTATTTACTTTAAATGTTCTTTTAAATATATTATAGAATTTGATTGCAATTTGTTTTTAAACATTTTTCTTAGTCATGCTGGAGTCTTGAAGAGTTCTTAGATGAGCATCACATTATATCCGTGCATCAGGAACCACCAGACGAGCGATCAGCAGCTGCTACATCATCATGGATAAAAAGGTCAACCTGTGGCTGGGAAGCACTTCATTCACAGGACATGCTTGATGAGATTTCCTAGCTCCAGTTTGTTTTCACACAAGTTTACAGCACTTATACCTTCATTTAAACTGCTGTGTTTGATATGGAGGACCAAGGAAACACCAGAAGTGAAAGATTTGCACGCCAAGTTGTTTAAAATGTAATTTCAGAAGAAAACTATGCGTTCAGAAGAAAACTATGAGTTCAGAAGAAAACTATGAGTGATGATATATTGAACTTTCAAATTGCTCTGATGAAACATCAAGTTTGGACCAAAGGACTAAAACAGCCTTTTTGAGCACTGGTCATACATATTTTGTTGATACTGTCTGTACTAATAAAACATTTAAAGCATATTTGACATTGTTGCATTTTAAAAACTGAATGAATTGTTGAAGTGGTGAATGTTTTCAAATAAAATGTTTTTTATTTTGTAATTTACAGTCTATTTGACCTTTTTACCATATTTACACTCGAGAGTTGAATAAAATAACAATATATTGTAGTAAAAAAATTACTACCAGGCGGTGTTAAATATAGTTACATTTTTAACTCTGCCCAGAGTTAAAATTAACCCTTACTTCGGTGTCAATGTGCCAACCCTTTTGAAAGTGTTGATTTAACTCTGTTTTGAGTGGACCCCATGAGACACTTTCAAAGTGTTGAAATTAACACCCATAGAGTTGTTTTGGGTCCCCTTATTTTGCTGTGCATCCAGCACAGTCGTCAAATATCAAAATATATTTTCAAAACTAACTTAATTAATTTAAATGCCTTTATTATGCATTATACCACAGCATAAAATAACTTACTATTCAGAAAAAAATAAGATCCAAATTAAACTAAATAATTTGGTAAATTCTTATTTTTTACCATTTTATAGGAGTTTAAATATTAATGCAAGTAACAAAATAATAATAAAGAAAAAAAAACGAATGATTACAGAATTACTGGTTAACCAAAAAGGTGTGATTGTCTCTTTAAACAAATATAAACAACATTTGCAGCATCTATATTAAGCATATAAACATAAATCGATAAGTTCTGTAAAACCTGTTTTAATTAGTAATATTTGACATTTAGCTGATATGCCTGATAACTGAATATTAATGAGATGATGTCATCACTATCAGCCAATCTCTGCACTGCTGATCATGTTGTGAAGGACTCAATTCAAGTGTACTTGTTTACAAAAGGTGCACATTATTGCTATTCAATCAGAATCAGAAATGGAGAGATGGATAGATCTGTCCTTCACAACAAACACATACAGCGATCTCAGATCAGTTTATCCAGATACCTGATTTCAACTTGATTGATGAACCAGATGAGCCAGGCATCAGTTATTAAAAGATCCAGAAAATCATCCTAGATAGTTTTAGTGAAGTATGAAGGACAGGTGTCCATTCTTCCTCAATGGATTACTGCTTTAGCTGGATTTGGTTTTTGGCCATTTCACACAATCCAGGATCATTTCATTCTTCAAAACTCATCCGAGAGGTGTCATACACTGTAAAACCCCACAGTCAACTTCATCAAATGAGTGCAGTCAACTCAAAATTGACTGACATTTGAAAAAGAGTTTTGAACTCAGTATTGAAGGTAAGGAGTTATTTAAACACCTTATTACTTCAACTTAAATGGATTAAGTTCACATCACTCATATTTGTAGATTAGTTTAACTCAAATGGTTTGTAGCAATCGGTTTCCTCAAATGTTTTGAGTTGCCTTAACTTATCGAGTTCTACAGTTCTTAGTTGGTTTGAGTTCTCTTTATTTATTGGGTTTCACTGTGCTCAGATTGCTTCATTTGCTCAAATAAATTAAGTTCACAGTACTCTTTAGGATTAGTTTTTGAACTTAAATGGTTTGCTGCAATAGGTTTCCTCAAACGGTTTGAGTTACCTTAACTTTTTGGGTTTTACAGTGTAGCAACAGGTCTTGAGCTCAAACCTGCTCGGGAGATCAGCTGCTTATTTCATATAAACAGGATTAGATCCATTTCAAGCAAAGGATTTACTAAACTTATGGAATTGTAATTTTTTTTGTGACTATGTAGGTCAATAGGCTAATTCTAACATACCAATATGGACTTTTTAGATTCAAAGATGTACAGTTGAGTTGAGGTCAGAATTATTAGCCCCGTTTATTTTTTACTCAATTTCTGTTTAACGGAGAGAAGATTTTTTTTAGCACATTTCTAATCATAATAGTGTTAATAACTCATCTCTAATAACTGATTTATTTTCTCTTTGTCATGATGACAGTAAATAATATTAGACTAGATATTCTTCAAGACACTTCTATACAGCTTAAAGTGACATTTAAAGGCTTAACTAGGGTGGTTAACTAGGCAGGTTAGGGGAATTAGGCAAGTTATTGTATAATGATGGTTTGTTCTGTAGACTACCAAAAAATATATAGCTTAAAGGGGCTAAAAATTTTGACCTTAAAATGGCGTTTAAAAGATTAAAAACTGCTTTTATTCTAGTCGAAATAAAACCAATAAGACTTTCTCCAGAAGAACAAATATTATCAGACATACTGTGAAAATGTCCTTGCTCTGTTAAACATCATTTGGGAAATATTTAAAAAGGAAAAAAAGGGGGGTGAATAATTCTGACTTTACCTGTACTTTTAAAAGGTACCAACCCAGTTTTAGTACCATTTCTGACAATAGACATGGCCAATATTTAAGGGAGACATGCACACGGTTTAACAGCTAATATGGCAGTGATATGATGCTTTGCCAAAAATAGCAGACACTTTTCCCATTTCAATTTTTTTTTTTTTGATGCAATATCAGTTTAAATTATGCCTCACGCTGCAGGATTAAGACACTTGAACACTATCAGAAAGAAAACCTGCTCTAAAAGACAAAATAAATAGCTAAACACAGCCCACAACATACAGGTAAAGTCAGAATTGTTCGCCCCTTTTGAATTTTTTTTCTTTTTTTAATATTTCCTAAATGATGTTTAACAGAGCGAGGACATTTTCACAGTATGTCTGATAATATTTGTTCTTCTGGAGAAAGTCTTATTTGGGCTAGAATAAAAGCTGTCTTTAATCTTTTAAAAGCCATTTTAAGGTCAATTATTAGCCCCTTTAAGCTATATTTTTCAATAGTCTAGAACAAACCATCATTATACAATGACTTGCCTAATTACCCTAACCTGCCTAGTTCCCCTAACTACCCTAGTGAAGCCTTTACATGTCACTTTAAGCTGAATATTGGTGTCTCAAAGAATATCTAGTCTAATATTATTTACTGTCATCATGACAAAGAGAAAATAAATCAGTTATTAGAGATGAGTTATTAACACTATTATGATTAGAAATGTGTTGGAGAAATCTGCTCTCCGTTAAACAGAAATTAGGGGGAAAATAAACATTGGGGCTAATAACTCTGACTTTAACTGTATGTGAAAAGTTATTGAGCATCATATTTCCCAAACTGTTTACTACTAATTTGATGTCATCTTGCTCACATGGATAATTGAATATTAATCAGATGATGTCATTACGCTGTTGTGCCGTCAGCCAATCGCTGCGCTGCTGATCATGATCTGGAGGATCAATAGATCCTTCACAACAAGCACAGCACACAGCCAACTCAGATCAGCTCATTCAGATATTTAAATCTGATTCGCAAACTTGTTTGAAGAACCAAACTAGCCTGAGATCAGCCATCATGATTAAAAGATCCAGCAAATCCGACTGTAAACAAAGTGTGTGTTCTGATGAAGCTTCTTGTCAGATAAAGCACCAATTTAAAACCATCTACAATAGTCATTATGAGAAAGAAACCCAAACGAAATGAATGTACCGCAGCTCTGCGTTGTAGACCGGCGCACCTCAGAATGAAGGAACTAAAAACACAGAAAGCTCAAATCATGTATAACGTGCTGAGAGATCAATGGGACGTGCCCAGCTCTGGATGGGTGCAGTGGGAGAAGATTGAATCACAGAGATGAAATGTGTGAATACCTGGACACACCACAGAGAAAAGGCCACGTTTAACACTGCATCCGGATCATTTACTGTGAGGAGACTTGAAGGTGCAGCGTGGGGAATGAATTGTGTGTGTGTGTGTGTGTGTGTGTGTGTGTGGTAGATGCACACTGCACCTTCAAGTGCCTCAACCACGAGCGTAAATGACCACAGATCAACTCATTGAGGTCTCATGATGACAAATCAAAAAGCCAGGAAATTAATCAGTCTATCGGTCACAGCAGAGGGAGGAGGTGGAGGGGGGAGACAATAAATGGAAATCAGCAAGAAGCACACTGGAGGTTAGGAAAAACACTATATTCTTTATTGAAAAATATTAGTATATATAAATATTTATATGTGGATTTGTGTCATAATAATAATAATAATAAGTCCATGCAACAAATAAAACAACATTGACCAATAGCAAGGCCCACCATGCTCAGTACAGGGTTAACAGAACAAAAGCAACATCCAATGAGCAGATGCATCGGCTACAGCACATTACAGTACAGCAGGGTACATCTTTACTACAGAAAGATTACATTGGAGTCTATTCAATGTAGAATCCAAATAATAATAATAATTATAATGTGATTCATGCACTGAAGTCTATTACCAGAACAAAAGGTAGAGAAACCACAACCAAACAATAGACATTTGCATTGCTCTAATAGAGGATCTCAGTAGTAGCAGTGCAGGAAAATCAACATCCCTGCCAAATGGATGGCATTTTGGACGCCGTGCCACGTCAATTTGGGCAATTTTGGATGCCAGCGGCCAATTCCAAAGTGTGTTTTTAGGATTTGTCTGTTGTTTCTTTGCTTTTTCCCCACCCAACCAGCCACATCTACAGACATGATTGTGAATGATCGTGTAAAATCAGAAGGGCGATGAATGAAGCAGGTGACAGATAGAGGACTGTGAACATCCAAGCACAAAATGCATCCATTTTACAGGAATTTACATACATGTTGACTACCGAAGCTGGATGGGACATACATGAGTCACTCTTCTAGAGCTAAAGATGTGGGTTAAACTACAGCACTTTACATAGAGACAGTCTAAATGTGTGTGTGCGCGCGCGTGTGTGTGTTAGCTCTGGTTTAGTGTGCGCTTGTTTGTTTGTTTGTTTGTTCTCAGGAAGGGAGCAGATGTTTGTCGTCTTCTGATGGAAATAGGAAATGAGGAGGGATCAGAACACAGATGATCATTAAAACACAATGATCTGATAATGCAGAATGTAGATTCAGCCTCCATAGACTATGAGACAGGAGATAAGAACAGAAATAAAGCACATGAAATCAAACTATGAGACAGGAGATCAGAAACAGAAATCAAACAAAGCTTTATGAGGTCAGTGATGGTGGTTTAAAGTGCTCGTTTCTCCTCATTGAGTTGGTGAGGTGGAGCTAGCGATAATTGGCCACAAATGATCATTCTGAGGTTTCGTTCCTGGTCTGAATTGGTGATTTTAAGCGCTTTAATGAAGCGACGCTGACGCTTTATTTGTTGTCCGTGAAGCTTTCGGGCCTCGGTTAGCATCTTTAGCTAGCATTATCTGAGGTAAAACCAAACCTCCCAAATAAACCTTAATGAAAGCGTAAAGCGCTCAGACACACGATCAAACCAATCGATTATGTGTCAGACATACCCAATATGTCTCGTTTAAGACGACATGTTGATTTTAATCGTATTTCAAAGCGAATCAGAAGCGAAAAGCGTCCTTCGCTCGCTTAGCTTTACAGATTAACGCTCCGATCCGAATCAAGCCTCACCGATTCTCTGAGAAAAACACAAATCATCAGCTTGTTTATTGGATATCCTCTCTGTTAGGTCCTGCATTAGTATATAGGTCGGTCGTGGGTTTAATAATCATGCATTAAACAAGCAAAAGGCCTCGGATGTGATCTGAGCGTGAAATAACGTGTTATAAATACCTCTATTTCTCACTGAGCCAAAGACAGGAAGAACCAAATATCCGACGTGAACTAACACCATCCTTCAGGTCTTCTGTTTGATGCACACAGGGTGTAAACGAATGAATAAATCATGTACATTCAGCGGATCATATGAAGTCAGTCACCGCGAGGACAAAGAAGAGCGGCGGTAATGTTCGCTTCGCCGACAGATCGAGCCAATGAGTCGGCTCTTCTGAACGATTCGAGCGAATCGATTCGCACAGCGTTCGTAAGGGAAAAAGCTGACTCGATCGAATCTCCGATCCGTTTGAAAGAACCGAAGCTGGAAAGCCGCAGCGCTGTCACCATCACACCGCTGGAGGAGCCGCGGCTGCTGTGAGTAAAACCATTCTGATCTTCAGAGTCAAAAACCACACACTGTCTGTCTACATGAGCTTTAATTCAGGAATAAACTTGACAGTATATATCCCAATACATTTTCTTCTCTCTAGCTCAGTCATCAATGCATAAAATGTAGCACCGAAAGGAAAATATGTTGCACACAATGTTTGGGTCAAAGACACTTCAGTGTTTGCATCAAATTAAATTTACAAAAGCATACATTTTCATTAAAAAAAAAAGTTTTATTTCATATAATGTCTGAAAAGAAAACCTTAAAATATAGGTGAAAAAATTCCATCATTCAGCATCAAACAGTGATCTTTTAATATGTTATTATTAAATTATCCTTGTTCTAAATAGGATGCACAATTGTTCCACCTAATAACATTATCAGGGCTCAACAATAAGGACTGCCCAGTGGCCCAGGGCCAGCGCGAAAGATGCTCAGGACAGTGAACAGGATTGTCACTGGCTCCTATCGGGCAGTAACGATGAGCACGTTATTTTTTTTTCCGTAACCTGGTAACAACTAGTACAGCGAAAAGGTGGCGGCATGGCAGCAACATCAAACTATGAGGCTTAAAGAAAACACCTGTTTCTAAAGTCTTGGAAGCAGACAATTACATGGGTACAAAATTAAGAAACAAAAAAAAAAAAAAAAGAGTTGTCGTCAGTTTGGCAAGCCATTTTTATCAAAATTATTTAGAATTGCCATTTAATACCAGCACATTTTCCATACAGCCCTTTCGTTTCAATAAAATCTAGAATTTTGCTCATTATACATTATTAAAATATTTTAAATGTTTAAATTCTAGATTCACAGACATTATTTTGCCACATTATTTAAAATATGTGGCTAAGAAATAGCTATTAACTTCTTTTTTTTGGTGGGGCCAGTGAAAACTTTGGCAGGGCAAGTAAAAATCTTAACCACTGGCCCAATCGGCCCAGTAGAAAAAATCCTTAGCGTTGAACCCTGATTATAGCAGCTGTTTTTTGGAAGTCATGGCAAAAATGAAGATATGCATTATTTAATATATTTAAAAATAAGACTTGATGCTTGAAAACCCCTTGTCGTCTTTAACCCACAAAGGAAAACATGAGCAAAAATATTGTACAAGTGCTTTGATATTTACAGTTTGTAGTCTTATGTCTGCATAAAAAAAACAATAATTATGAATAAAACACAAGCAAACTTAATTAAAATCAATGCAATTAGACACTTTGGTTCTTCATATTTGGCTGAAAATTGTTTCCTTTAACAAAAAAACTTGAAATAAATCTACTCAAGTGTCTTCAAGTATGCAATCCACTAAAATAAGATAATACTTGTATATGTTGCTGACTGCACTAATAAGATCAGATTGTTCTGTGTGGAGTGTTTGACATATGAATGCATTAAAGAGCTTTATAAATCAATGTGAAACTCTGTTCTGAACAGTACGACAGTTTCTTCCCTTTCATTGGCGTGATGGGAATGTCTTTGTGTTCTTGTGCCATTAAATTCACAAATATTTCCATTATCCACAGCAAACTCTGACCCTTAAAGGGAACCTATTATGCAAAAATCCCTTTTATAAGAGGTTTAAACCCAGTTGTGTGTCAGCAGTGTGTGAATATTTCCAGCCTCTAATGCTCAACATGTATTAATTGTGTTTGTTATAATCAGACTTGATGAATGAAACACTGTGATTGACATTCTCCCTTTGTACGTGTCATCAGAAGGCGAAAGCCCCACCCACTAGTCTCCCACATTAGCATAAACAGCAGGCCTGAGTGAGAAGCAGCCGTCTGTCCATTAGCCATTAGAGTATTTGAGCTGCTGAAGATAATGTCAGCATAGACTAAGAGGATTATAGATGTGGAGTTCTAGATGACAGGAGTCTCCATAGACTGACAGAAGCATGAAGCACACACTCACACTGAAGCACACATGCACACCTGACCAGCACTGAGAACTAGTCCTGTTTTCAATCTGGTGATGGTTTGTAGCTCCGCCCTCTTCTGAAAAGAGCACAATCTCATTTGCATTTAAAGCGACAGTCACCAAAACACCACAATTAGAGCCTAAAAGGGTCAGTTTGAGAGAGATAGAGAGCATTATTTGTGTGCTATTCTCAGCTCAAACTTCACTACTAGAGGCATCAGAGGCTTATTTCATAGCCTGTAAAAAGGTGCATAATAGGTCACCTTTAATCTGACTTTATCTGCTTAAAGTCATAATTTGGAATTCACTGTAATGTGAATATTGCATTTTTTTGTTACCATGGAAACCAATTTTCATTCTCTACTGCTCTGCTTTGAGTAAATGAACCCTTTTGTCCCTTGAATTATTCTAAAATGAATGGTTCTTGCATGGTCCTGCATCCCGGTGTGTGTATGTGTGTGTTTGTGTGTGTATGTGTGTGTGTGTCACTGTGTGCTGCCATAGTGGTTTGGTGAATCTGACGTCTCCTGAAGGCTGGTGTGTGAAATCTCCTCGTCTTTATCGGACACACACTTCACATTGAAGAGATCCGACACACAGAACACCTGCATAGAGAGAGAGAGAGTTATGATCATGATAGATGACGTGTTTATTATTTAGGCATGAATGAAACATGCTAACAGCTGCACATATAACTGTAGCTATGTTTCCATCCACCTTTTTTATGCGCATTTTGCAAATGCGCATAAAAAAGCTATAAGCTACAGGTAGGATAAACTTTTTATTCGATAAGTATAGATGCGCATAAACTGCGATGAAAACACTTTTACCGCACAAACTCCAGCATGCGCATTAAAAAAGGTCATGTGATTTTGTTAAAAGAGATCATGTGATGCTTAAAATGTGTGTGAATGGATAAAACGTCAGGCTGAGCACATTATAAAACATCTGAAATGTTGTTTTGGTCATTATGAAAAGTACAAGTGTTATTATATTATTAATGACCTCCAGAATCAGGAGCGCCTGTGCTCCGCGTCTGACACCTTTAAACACCACTGCGTGCTCACTGCCTGTCAGGATTGTCTTCTGAGGTGCATTCATTTAGAAAAGCTTAATGCAAATTCTCCTACTGCAGCAAATGCAGTTTTTACTGTTGATATTTGGCGCTAGTTAATCAGGAAGTGACGATTTTGTTCGCTTTGACTCATTGGATGGAAACGCTGCTTCATTCGCACAACTTTTATGTGATAATCCAGTTTTGCGCATAAAGTTTATTCACATTTTTGGATGGAAACATAGCTATTGTATATATGTATTAGTAATGCAGCGCTACAAACACTTGTCTATTTGTGTATTTGCATTTATTATCTGTTTTTTTATTATTATTTTTTTGTCCTGTCTCTGTAAGTCTGTTGCACTGTAGAAGCTCTGTCACGAAAACTAATTTCTCGTATGTGAGCACATACCTGGCAATAAAGCTCTTTCTGAAACACAGTTGGTTGTGAGAAAAAGCAGATATTCTACGTTGTTAAACTATATATATTTCTGTGAAATCTCAAATGTACCATATGTCATTTAGAGGATGCACTTTATTTTTCTGGACACACTATTTTGATTTAGTTTCTGAGGTTGATTCATTTATTCCTTCATTTTCCTTCGATTTAGTCCATTTATTCATCAGGGGTTGTCACAGTAGAATGACACAGACAAAGTAGAGTTTACACAGTGGATGCCCTTCCAGCTGCAACCCAGTACTGGGCACCACTCATACATACTTATTCACACACTCATACACTACAGCCAATTTAGTTAATCAATTCCCCTAAAGCGCATGTGTTTGGACTGTGGGGGAAACCAGAGCACCCACAGCCTATCACCCTGCAGCCCAAGACCGGTTACTCACTGAAGCTAAGCAGGGCTGAGCCTAGTTAGTACCTGGATGGGAGACCACTAGGGAACACTAGGTTGCTGTTGGAAGTGGTGTTAGTGAGGCCAGCAGGGGGCGCTCAACCTGTGGTCTGTGTGAGTCCTAATACCCCAGCAAAAGTGAAGGGGACACTATACTGTCAGTGGGCGCCGTCTTTCGGATGAGACGTTAAACTGAGGTCCTGACTCTCTGTGGTCGTTAATAATCCCATGGCACTTCTCGTGAAAGAGCAGGGGTGTAACCCCGGTGTCCTGGCCAAAGTCCCTCTATCGGCCCTTATGATCATGGCCTCCCAATCATCCCCATCCACCGAATTGGCTCTATCACTGTCTCTCCACTCCACCAATAGCTGGTGTGTGGTGAGCGCACTGGCGCCGTTGTCCTGTGGCTGCCGTCGCTTCATCCAAGTGGAGCTGCACACTGGTGGTGGTGTGGAGAGACCCCCCCTCATGATTGTGAAGCGCTTTGGGTGTATGGCCATACACAATAAATGCGCTATATAAATACACATTACATTACATTTTACCCGGAGAACAACCAAGCCAACACAGGGAGACCATGCAAACTTCACACAGAAATGGCAACTGACCCAGCCGAGACTCGAACCAGCGACCTTCTTACTGTAAGGCCACAGTGATAAACACAGAGCCACCCAGGTTGATAAATGTCAATGAATATTATTTATGCATTTGAAATAATTTGGCTTAGTTTATTTCTCATTCTCATGCACTAGAGATAAATGCGTTGCAATCAATGCATTTTTTTTGTATAACTTTACAGTGCTCAGCATAAATGTGTTGACCCCTCACAGATCTCTCTTTTACAGTAATATTTTCTCCAGGATGTTTTACAGTAACAACTGATCAACTAATCTAACAAAAAAACGAAGATCAAAGTCCAAAAATGATTACAAATAAATTAATCTGTTGGTAGAAAATATTAAATTATATGAAAAAAACTGGAAAATCAAGAGAAACATAAACATATAAAGTTTTCTTAATGATTTTTAGTTTCAATTTAAAATTTTTTTGCACCACCTAGTTTAAATTTAAATGTATTATCTTTTTATCGTGGCTTTGCAATCAATAAATGTGGTTATAAAGGCAGTCAATAGGGGGAAAACGGCCACCAACATCCTCAAAGGGGAGTCAATTTGTGTGCCAAGTAAAGCAGTCAGTCAAGTTTACAGTACATTATTTTGTAAATTGGTTTCCACTTTAATAATTATATATATATATATATATACACACACACACATACATACAGAAAAGAGTTTTTGCAACACATTTCTAAACATAATAGTTTTAATAACTCATTTCTACTAACTGATTTATTTTATCTTTGCCATGATGACAGTAAATAATATTTTACAAGACACTTCTATACAGCTTAAAGTGACATTTATTCAACGCGTATCTGCAATAGTCACATCACTGGATAAGATTATTTATTAATTCATTTATTTTCTTGTCGGCTTAGTCCCTTTATTAATCTAGGGTCGCCACAGCGGAATGAACCGTCAACTTATCCAGCACGTTTTTATGCAGCGGATGCCCTTCCGGCCGCAACCCATCTCTGGGAAACACCCACACACCCACTCATACACTACGGACAATTTAGCCTACCCAATTCACCTGTACCGCATGTCTTTGGAATGTGGGGGACACCCACCCGAAAGAAACCCAGGTTTACACAGGGGGTCTTCACGTGAACACAGCTGCTGCGCTCTAGCATCCAGGTTAATCATGAACAACTCAGTGCGCAAGTGCTAGTTGCCCTATCGCGGTCTGATTAAATGTTTCAATCAAGGTTTATATGCATCAGATACATAACATCTGTGCCAAACATCTCATAATACAACCGTATAGCCAAATTAAATGTATGCATTGGCATTTTACAGCCCTAATGAGTATAAATATGTGAAACTCCATATAGATTAGATTTTGGCATAGTCCATTTCACGTGAGATAGCGGGGGTAAGTGGGTGAAACCAAGTCGCGGGGGAATATTTTCTACATAAGTTATGATTTCTTATGTGGCCCTGTACCAATTGGTTGGTGGTCCCCCGGTGGTTGGGGACCACTGCTGTAGAATATCAAAAAACATATAGCTTAAAGGGGCTAATAATATTGGCCTTAAAAAGTTTTTTTTAAAAGTTAAAAGCTGCTTTTATTCTAGTCGAAATAAAACAAATAAATATTATATTATATAAATATTATCATACATGCTGTGAAAATGTCCTTGCTCTGTTAAACATCATTTGGGAAATATAAAAAGAAAAATCAAATGTCTGACATCACAGGATTGGTTCTGTTCCCTCATGTGAACCTTTTTTTAACAGTCTATGAGGTCAACAGATACAGTGGAAGTAATGGACTGAACATGGAGACTGGAAAGCCTAATTTAACCACACACAACAAACACACATGAAAAGACTGATGCGTGAAGTACAATACAAGCCTCAAATATGTGTCCAGTATATCAAAAATATACTTATTCTATTTTTTAAAACACCGATCATTTGATGTCAACACCTTGCCTGGATTCAGCAAGGTTAGGTACCAACATAATGGGGGCAGTTACTTTGACTTTTCGCTACTACAGCCCTATGCCTCTGTTCGTGCTCAAACCAAACTAAGATTGGTGCGTTTTTTACATGGCAGGGTTTTACCTCCTTCATACAGAATGTCAACTTGATGATAAGGAAATATGTCTTGACATAATCCACACGGATGTGATTTAGTAAAGCGTGAAGTCATGTATCATTTTAATCATTGCAATAGTCTGAATGTAAAACCCCTTTTCTGGCAGCGCTGGACCAGCATGAGAGAGTGGACCAAGGCACATATATTTTTATATATTGGACACAGAGTGGCTCAGTGGTTAGCACGGTCACCTCATGGCAAGAAGGTCGCTGGCTGGGTCAATTGAAGTTTCTGTGTGGAGTTTGCATATTTTCTCCGTGTTGGCATGGGTTTCCTCCGGGTGCTCCGGTTTCTGCCACAGTTCAAACACATGCGCTATAAGGGAATTGATCAACTAAATTGGCCGAAGTGTATGAGTTGGTGGTTCATTCCACTGTGGCGACCCCTGATAAATCATAGACTAAGCCAAAGTAAAACTAATGATTATTGGACACCAATTAGCCGCTTGTATTTGCATTAGCTATGCAATACATGTCCACAACTTCACTTTGGTTAAATTAATCTTTCCAGTCTCCATGGTCAGACCATTACTTCCACTGTATCTGTTCACCTGAGGGAACAGATCCAATCCTATGACATCAGACACCACAATATTCTAAGATGGCGGTGCTATAGCTCTAAAAACTATGGTAAAACATACCCTTTTGTTTAAAATAGCTTCATTAATGGAGATTGCTCTATATATATATATTTTTTTTTTTATTAAAGTGGAAACCTGTTTACAAAATAACGTAAGCTTGACTGAGTGCTTCACTTATAAAGCAGCTTTGACACATTCGTCATCGTGAAAGCGCTATAGAAATAAGGATGAATTGAATTGAACTGAATCAGGTCACTTACAGTAAACAGAGCCACAGCGGCTCCCTGTATGAGTCCGGTGAGAACGTCACTCCAGTGGTGTTTATAGTCAGAGACGCGAGACAGACCCACATATAGAGACGCTGCGATTAATGAAAACTGCAGAGTCGGACGCACCAGACGAGCCCACCCGGCCCTCATTCTGGACTGCAGATACAGCTGGAAAGAGGACACACAGATCAACATTTAATCTAGACACATGATGAAATGCTCACACTTTACAATAAACTTTCAATAATGTACAGTTGAGTTCAGAATTATTCACCCCCAGTATATTTATTTCCCAATTTCTGTGTAACAGAAAGCTTTTTTCAACACATTTCTAAACATGATAATTTAATAATTCATTTATAATAACTGATTTATTTTATCTGTGCAATGATGACTGTACATACAGTTTTATGCAAAAGTTTGGGCACCCCTGATAATTATCAGAATCGCAAGTCACAGTCTGCAGGCCTTTCAAAGCAGCAATTTCATTAGGATATATCTTATACCCTATGGAAAAAGACAACTCAGTTCTGACATAACATTTATTTAATCAACAGATGCAGTGCAATTTACATCATAACATAAACAGACAGATTCAAAAGACTTGTGATAGCTTTTTGCAGCCTTCTCCTAATTGATGTTGATGAATTATCCTAGTTTTTAAGTCTTTAGGAAGTTCCCATGTCGCTTCTTTCTGGTTGACCATAAGGAGAAGCACAACTAGCAGATTTCTTAAATATCCTTTTTCATGATTGGTTACACCTGTGTTGGGATTATTAAGGTCCACAGAGTCATGCGGTCAGTCTAGAGTTTAAGCATGCCAAATTCTGTCGTATGGTGCTGCGAAAATGATTTAAACAAGATGATTAGACATTTAAAGCGAGCGATTGGTCCACATCTTGTATTTCTGTGTAGAGAGGTCATATTTTGATCTTCTATTGGTCTCATGCACTCCTGTGATGTGATTTCGCAGGTCAGAGTTCACCAAGCTTGAACTTTGCAACACAGCGAACTGCGAAACTTGTTGTACAAGCTTGCGGTTCCAGTTTGCCACATTTGCTTGCATATGAATGGAAGTAGGGCTGAACAATAAATGGTTTCAGCATTGATATGGCAATGTGCACATCCACAATCATCATATTACAGAGATATTGTCACATTCACCAGCGATCTCTAACCACCAGAGAACTACAAATGTGTTTGTAAATGGACTTCAACTTCAAACATGCTCTTCGCCCACACACCTGCTTCCTCATTTAGCTTGATTACATTCGCACACCTGAGGACTTTCAGAGACTGATTAATACACACTATTTAAGCCACACATTCACTCCTTCAGTTGGCCGAGTCTTGTTTATCTGTAAGGTGACATTACAATGTGTTATCCTGGTCTTGGTTTCCCGTGTTTTGATCTTAGCCTTGTTTATCCAGTTCTCCTGTTTAGCCGCCTGCCTTCTGACCCCTCGCCTGTGTTTGACTACGATTCTGGACTGCCCGTATAGATCTGTTTGCACCTGTGTTGACCATTGCTTGCCTGACTATTCTGAATAAACCTGCATTTGGATCCTACCTTCTGTTGTCAGTGTCACTCCCCAGCGTTACAGATATGCACTGTTAAATCCGGATTACAGTTGAACAGGAAGTACAGAATTGTATTTAATTACTGCATTTATGCATTCGTTCTGAATATATACGACTTATGCAACAACAAAAAAAGTTTTTCATACTCATTTCATAGAATTTTTTTCTACTTTTCAAAATAAAAACAAGATGATTTTACTTCCCTCAAACACACAAACCAATATTTTTACTTGATCCCAGTGTTTTTTTTAGATATTTGAACTAGAAATGAAACAAAGCAATGTAATTTTGCATTGTGATTTATTCAATTTCTGTTCCTAAATACTGTTTGACTCCCTAAAAAAAAGTCAAATAAAGCTGTTCAACTTTCTTGTAAAGCTGTATTTATTGCAATATTTATATCATAAAAAAATATTGCAATATCAGATTTTTCCAATAAAGTGCAGCCCTGAATAGAAGTCTATGGGGCGAAAAACAAAAAGTGCATTGTGACTGTGCTTTCACTCAAACCAATTTTGTGTAATCAATCAGCAGTAATTAACTGCAGGTTTTAAAATCCACACAAAAAATAGGGTGCCCAAACTTTTGCACAGCCTACACTTCAATTTATTTTTACACATCTCAATACTACTACACTGCAGGCTTCTGTCTGAAAAACATGACATTATCTAGCTTTCTCAAGAAACCGGATGGAATTTTGCTGTGATCTTCTCTTATAAAGAGAGCACATTACTATACAGCCATAAGGGTGCTCAAACTTTTGCATAACACTAATCATTGACTAGATATTTTTCCAGATACTAGTATTCAGCTTAAATGACATTTAAAGGCTTAATTAGGCAAGTCATTGTATAACAGTGGTTCTGTAGACAATCCAACACTAATATTGCTGAAGGGTCTAATAATATTGACCTTAAAATGGGTTTAAAGCAATTAAGAACTGCTTTTATTCTAGCCGAAATAAAACAAATAGGACTTTCTCCAGAAGAACAAATATTAGAGGATATACTGTGAACAACTCCTGAATCTGTTAGACATCATTTGGGAAACATTTGACAAAGTATTGCCTTAGTAGTAATACAGTCATAAATGCAGACTTACAGCGAGGAACAGCATACAGTACATGGAGAATGATGAGTGACCAGAGTAAAAGGAAAGCCTGTCAGTAAAACATTTCACATCATCATTATTAGCAAAATAACACCCAATATTCACTTGTAGAGTGTAGAGCGAGACACTCACCGGCCTTCGTTAGTGAGCGTGGGGTCTCCTGTACAGGTGAAGTTCTCGATATATCCTGCTTTACAGTCGATGAGGCTCCAGTGCGGTTTACACACCGTCAGAAAGTGTGGCCGAAGCCGGCCAATGGTGTATTTGGCGATGTCTGTCAGCGACTGACTCACCGCCGCTCCAAACACAAATGACCCAACTGCTTTATACACACACGCGACATATTCATAACTGAAGGACGCTCGGGATCGCAGATATATGGAAAAACACTCGCCAAAGACGATCTGTGGAGCAGAGAAATATTGATCAATTTTTTTTTGGTCTATTTCTGTAAATAATTTGGTACAAATATGTGAGTGTAGTAACTATAAACCTAATACACTTTCAATTAAAAAATAACGTTTTACATTTTAAAGGAGAGCTATTATGCAAAAATCACTTTAATATAGGGTGTAAACCCAGTTGTGTGTCAGCAGTGTGTGAATATCTCCAGCAGCCTCTAATGCTCAACATGTATTTATTGTATTTGTTATAATCAGACTTGATAAATGAAACACTGTGATTGACATTCTCCCTTTGTACGTGTCATCAGAGGGGGAAAGCCCCGCCCACTAGTTCCCATCTCTCCATCTCATTAGCATAAACAGCAGCCCTGAGTGAGAAGCAGCCGTCTGTGCATTAGCCATTAGAGTTTAGGAGCTGCTAAAGATAATGGGCTTTATTTTAACTAAGGGCAAAGTGTAAAGCACATTGTGCCCAAGCATTAAGGCTGTGTCTGAATTCACTTTTGCTATTTTAAATACGGATAAATCCACTCTGTGCCCCAGCGCATGGTCTAACAGGGCTGTGCTGATTCTCTTCATGAGTTCTAGGTGTGTTTTGAGCTTAATTTACATTAAACCAATCAGAGTCTCGTCTCTCATTCCCTTTAAGAGTCAGTCCATGGTGCATTTGCTATTTACATGTCAATTCTGTAAGTTTAAAAACTGAACACTTCACTAGCGAGAAAACAGTTAAACAGAGCATCTGCAGCACGAGGATAAAGAATGAGCCTCCTCCATTCAGCCTCTTTACTTTCTCTTTACTTTACTTTTACTCTTTACTTTACTCCTTTACTTTGGTGGAGTGAGGAAACGGTGGAAACAACAGGTTTAAACAACAGGATGCATAACATGAAAATTAGGGTTGCGCTGGTCTAAAATTAACATCAAATCGTGCCAAACATATCTTGCGCCTTATTGCACCGGGTGTATGATAGGGCCCTATGTCAGCATAGACAGCATAGGATTATAAATGTGCTCATATTTTGCTCAATATATTTATAAGGTTAAAAATAAAATACAAAATAGTCAAATGAGATTCCAAATTAGGCCAGGAGCCTGGGGTACGTTCTTCGTACGTGGATTACTCAGTTAGCTGGATTTGGATATTGACGATTTGACATGATCCAGGATCATTTCGTTCTTCAAAGCTGATCTGAGAGTTGTTGTCATAGCAACAGTTCTGCTAGCTCAAACCTGATCGGGAGCAGGTTCAATTCATATAAACAGGATTAGATCGGGTCAGTTCAAGCAAAGATAATAGAGAAAGTACCGAATTATGATGTTTTCTTAAAGTAGTAGTTATATACACTTGGGAAAATAGTAAAAAGAAATTTACTATAAATATAAAGTTATAGTTATTAATAAAATAAATAAAGTTATATTAACAAAACTTATGCAATCTGCACCCTGGAAATGAAAGTACAAAGAGAAAATGTATTGATATGAACTTTTTAGATCGCTTTAGTACAATTTGTGTATGATAATAGAAATGCAGAATATGTGACTTAAAAAAAATAATAATAATAATACATTAATGCAGTCGTGAACATGTTTTGACAGTAAATATGCCAGTGATTATGCTTCACAAAAGTTGCAGACACCTTTACCAATATCAAAATGCTTTTGTAAACATCCAGTTATTCCATACAGCGATTAAAAAAACGGCTACTGTAATAAAGAAAATCTTTTCTAAATGTAGAACTAAATACATTGATTTGCATTGAAATACATGATGAATACTCGTGAAAGTGGAAAGCCTGCAGCTCACAACAAATGTGGAAAGTTAATGCGTGTCATATTTAACAAACCGTTTACTGCTAATTTGATGTAATTTTGCTCACATGGATAATTGAATATTAATCAGATGATGTCATTACGCTGCTGTGCCGTCAGCCAATCGTTGCATTGCTGATCATGATTTCGAGGATCGATAGATCTGTCCTTCAAAACACACGCAGCGATCTCAGATCAGTTCATCCAGACATTTTAATCTGATTCACAAACTTTTTTGAAGAACCAAATTAGCGAGAGATCAGTTATCAAGATTAAAAGATCCAGGATCGGCAAAATCATCTTAGATCATTTAAGCGAGGTACGAAGAACAGACCCCTGGTTTCAAGCAGAATTCGTTATTGAGATGTGTAAGTTGTTCTGTAGATAAACAGCAGCTTCAAGAAGTCCACATGAGTCTGCAAGTGTAAATTGAGCAGATCATCCTCTGTGTATTATGTTTTAGGAGGGGGCAGAGTTTATAGGTGGAGGTGGTTAAACAAGTCATGTAAATGCGAACCTGTCCAGTCACTGACCACACAAATGTATCAACAAAAGAGTTTCTTCGGCTTGAATGGATCCACAAAGACACAGTCGTCGAGACCCTGCCCGTAGCATTTGCATCACTTTGGGATCTGCCAGTGCTCAGAAAGGCTATAGGTTTAATGTCTCTGACACCCTGGGCTGCTAGAGTTTTCTCTGAAATTTTATCATTCCAAAAACCAAAGAATATGACTTTTGAGTTATATTTATTTATATTAATTTATTTATCACTGTTAATTTAAAACTAGATTACATACATTGATATTTTAACAAGATTAAGTCCTTTTCTTTTCCTAAATATTCAAGCTTATTCATTATATAAAGCCCTTTTATACCTTTTCTGGAATAACCACCTTTTATTTTAAAACTATATTGTTAAATATATCCTTACCGTGAAATAAACTTTCTCATTTTGTGAAATTACATTTTGGAGAGACCACTCAGTCCTATTAACAAGCATGAATCCAGATGTTAATAATGCATTGGTAAATGTTGCACAATGATTAATAAATGCTGCACAACTATCGTTCATAATTAGTTAACGTTAGTAATACATTAACTAATGTATTAATGGTCTAATGACCAGGTCTCACTGGAAGAAGAGACAGTACTGTCTCAATGTGCTCTCCTGGCTTAATAAAGGAAATAAATAAATAACTAATGAAACCTTATTGTAAGGTTTTACACTGGTTTACAATACAAATCCAATGAGAGTCACTTGTTTGGTTAAAAAAGCAGGTCTTTCATATAGTATATCTATTAAAAGACAGAAAAGCTTTACAAACTGTATTTTGCACATAAATCATGAAAACATTTGCACATTATTATTTAGATGAATATGAAAGCTGAACGAATAAATAAATATTTGCACACATCTACATGAGTATATTAACAGATTTAATGATGGGCTGAAGACTTTTGCGGCAAATAAAGCTCCTAAAACAAAGAAAGCAGATTGTGGCTTACTAGCAGGAGTGCCAGTGGTATCATTATTCCCATCAGTAACTGGTAGGATATGGTATCTTCTTTGAAAGGGTATCTGATGCTGTCATCGCTGCAGAAAAAGCCTCTTTTGAAAGGTCTGTGCTGAATATTTAGCACCGCAAATGGAAGTCCGGCTAGAAGAGAAGCAGAAATAAAGATGTCATCAGGGTAGGTGTTCACAAAACATCTGAAGGCCAAAAGTAGCTCAGATTTAGGAGACCTACTTTAAAAATAGTGGTTGGGTCAGTGCTACATTTAGGACTTTAGTGATTGGGAGCTAAAAGTAGACTGCTAAAAATATTAACAGTACTAAAGAGACTCATAAATCACTAAAGCAAACCACTAAATATCCTAAAATATCAGTTTTCAGTAATCTGCTTTGGAAAGAAAACCTATTCTTAAAATGTCAGACCACAATGAGCTTTTAATAAGTTATCAGCCTCATCTCAAAGGTATTCAACGGTGGGTCTCACGTCCGCCATGTTTGTAGTTTCTTTAGACTTTTTACCCAAGTTTGTAGTTCTAAACAAATGCACCACCAATGTACAGTGTATTGTGAGTAATATTAGCAGTTAATGTACGGATATTTCTACAATTCACATCTTTACTTGAAACTGTTAACCAACCGGGAACTTTTTTCAACATACTAGAGTTTGGGACACACTAACTCTATTTCCCAATACTATTTAGTAATAGTCTCTGTGAAGAAACACAAACGGACGGATATTAAAACATCCAGCTGATGTGTGTTTGTTAGTCAGTATTGTACAGTTATATGAGAATGAAGAACGGCCTTTCAGTGCACATTCTGCTGAGGAGACTCAATCCTGCTTAATAATCAGTTCACTTCACACTGTTCAACAGCTGAGGAGGACAAAGAAGACTGTATTGTGTGTCTGTCAGACTCCGCGTATTATTCTGACATTCCTATACATTCATTTCATTAGCAATCACGGTTTCCTCATTGAATTACCTGCTCACAAACACACTACTCGTGATCTACTAGAAAGAGTGCACACAATGCAGCTAGAGCGGGGCTGCACGATGGCGCAGTGGGTAGCACATTCACCTCACAGCAATGTCGCTGGTTTAAGTCTCGGCTGGGTGAGTTGGTGTTTCTGTGTGGAGTTTGAATGTTCTCCCCGTGTTGGCGTGGGTTTCCTCCGGGTGCTGGAGTTTCCCCCACAAGTCCAAAAGCATGTAGGGGAATTGGGTTGGCTAAATTGTCTGCAGTGTATGTTTGTGATTGAGTGTGTATGGATGTTTCCCAGTGATGGGTATCCAGCTGCGTAAAACATATGCTGGATAAGTTGGCAGTTCATTCCGCTGTGGCGACTCCATATTAATAAAGGGATTAAGCTGAAAATAAAATGACTGAATGAATGAAAGACAGCTAGAGTGTCTGTAATTGCATGTATGTTACAAAAATAGTGCAAAAAAGAGCTTGTTTTCCAGCTCAAATATCTGAATATTATTATATTTAAAAATAATACAAACACTGGAGAAGTAAAAAAAAGTTTTGATTTTAAAAATGTATAAAATATTGCATTTAAATATAATGGAAAAGTTTGTCTTTTAGTAATACTTTCAGGCCAAAGAAACCCTTTTGTTGATAAACTTGTGTGGTCAGTGGCTTGGCAAGTTTATTCACCTACCAACCTCCTTCATTTGCATGCTTTTCTTAGCTATCTCAACCTAGCCACTCCTCCCCTCCGCCTAAAAACATATTATGGAAAGGATGTCTTTGACTCATTTTTAGACTTGATTTCAGACTTGTGATAATAACTTGTAAGACCTGTAAGAAACTCCTGTAGGCTCTTGCAGACTCGTGAGCTTGAAGACACTGTATGACTGCAGACTAACGAACATGTCTTAATAAATCAATTCTGCTTGTTGGAGTCTGCTGGACTGATGGGTGACTCATTGATGGGTAATATATTGGTATAAGTATTCTTTTAAAAGTGTGTGCATGAATATGAGTATACATATGTATCATTTGTTCATTCATTTTCCTTTAGCTTAGTCCCTGATTTATCAGAGGTCACCACAGGCTGCTTATCCAGCATATGTTTTACACAGTAGATGCCCTTCCAGCTGCAACCCAGTACTGGGAAACACCCATACACCCTCATTCATACATACTCTCATATACTACGGCCAATTTAGTTATAAATAGTTATAGCGCATGTATTTGCACTGTGGGGGAAACCGTAGCACCTGAAGGAAACCCACGCCAACACGGGGAGAACATGCAAACTTCACAAAGAAACAACAACTGACCCAGCCGGGACTCGAACCAGCGACCTTCTTGTTGTGAGGCGATGGTGCTAACCACTGTGCCGCCACATACACATGTTTACAAGGTTAATACATTTTACTTCTTTAATATCTGGCATTTAAGGTATGATCTCCAGTAGAATCTCCAGTATGATCAATACAACAATTCTACACTGCCATTTTCTTAAATCAAGACGCATTGACTGGAGGATAACTCAAGGAAATAACCCTTGTTAAAGCAAAATAATTACTGCTGGGTGCATTTGTAGTTAACACAAGACAAATACACAGATTTAAAAAAAACTTTAATAGTTTACAGTAAATACTATAGTGTTTTCAACTATACTAAAGTAAAGTGTGTGATAGTATCTACAAATGTTTGTTAATGAATGCTCCAGCATACTGTAATACTAACTCTCATGATAAACTGTAATAAATACTGTAGTATACTTTTAGTTTTTACAGCAGTAAACTGGTATATTGTAGTCTGATACACCCTAAAGCTATAAAAAACTACAGTATTGGTTCATTTGTTTATAGTACTATAGTTGTTGTGTTACCATGGCAACTATTGAATGAATCACCCAAGCAGAAGTACTATAGTATATACCAAGGGTTCTCAAACTCGGTCCTGGAGGTCCAGTGTTCTGCAGATTTTAGCTTAACTTGCCTTAACACACCTGCAAGGATGTTTCTAGAAAGCCTAGTAAGAGCTTGATTAGCTAGCCCAGGACACCGGACCTCCAGGACCAAGATTGAGAACTAGTATATACTATAAATGACTATAATATTTGCTTACAATGACATGTGAATATCTGTCAATAGGGAAAAATATTAAGACCAAAAAGCTATTCAACATTTGAGATCAAAGAAAGAAGAGTAGCGTTATATTCTGCGTTGTCTGACTCTACTGATTATTGACATTCCTATACATTTCTTTCATAAGCAATCACAGTTTCCTTATTGTAGAATTACCTGCTCATAAACACACAACTCGTATAAGACCAAGAAACTAAATAGTGACTATGAATGTAATGTGCTGTGAATGGATGTAAGCAAACAGCTCTGAGTGTGTGAAGGACACTGTTCCTACAGTGCGGATGTAATGCAAACACTGCTTATGTCAACATTTACAGTTCAAACACTTACTGTACTTTCATCTGGCCGCACATTCTATTCTTAGAATCAAACTGAAACATTTTAGCGCGAATAAACCCGTCAGTCTGTGTGAAGTTGCAACATTGTATCGAGTCAGTGGCGGAAGCAGAATCTACAGTTGGAGAATAAGAATAAGAATAGCGCGGGTCATCAGCTAATAATAAGCCGCGTTTGTGTGTTTTGAGTGAGTGTGTGTTTCGGGTCTTACCGAGCAACACACAGCTGACGTCCACACAAACCCTCCAGAGTCCTCGAGCCTCGAACATTCTGAGTTCCGCAACCGGGCTTCTGCTCATCAAACTGCTGAACATTTATCAACGACAGCGAAACTTAAACACACACACACTCATATACACACACACACACACACACACACACTACTTCAGTTAAGCTGGAGATAATCTGAGCATCAACAGCGGTTGTCACCCGATGGGTTTCCGTCGTTGTAGTTTGTTAATAAGCTTGAATCTTCGAGTTTTCTCCCGTGTCTGACGCGTGTGTCGCCGTTATTAACCTCCGGTTACTTCATATCGCATGATGGTGAGGTCAATCCCTCTGCCTGTCAATCACCGCAGGCTCCGCCCACCGTTTCCTCTTTCAGCACTCGCTGGTGCTGTTGCGTTCTCATCATTACAGAATAAAAGAGTCAGTTTTCCTCACAAAAATGATGTAAATACAAAATATAAACTGCAAAATCAGAGGGGAGAAATGTCAGAGATGCTAAAGACTGTATCCTGTTTAAATTTGACAATTTGACAGTCAAAAATAGAAGTAAAATGACTGCTGCAAGAAAGATTATTATCATGCAAATCAGAGAACAGCCCTAAAATAGGGATTTATACTAAGATTTCGGGGAAGGGGGAGGAGGAAGCTATAAAGGCACAATTCTGTGTTAGCTTGCAATTAAAACAAATGTTATTCTTTGTGATAAACCTCTTAATGTGCAATATCTTATTTTTAAAGGTTACAAATATGAAAAGTGAAAAATAAAGTATTTTTATAAGCATTTTATTGTATTTAAAAAACTCAGACATTCAGTCATGCTTTTTAAGTGAACATCAAAAGAGTTTTTATTCAGTTGTTTTTATTATGGCGTCATGATGGTGCCTTAGGTAGTTAAATCGCTTCACAGCAGGAAGGTTGCTGGTTTGAGCCTCGGCTGGGTCAGTTGGCGTTTCTGTGTGGAGTTTGGATGTTCTCCCCATGTTGGCGTGGGTTTCCTCCGGGTGCTCTGGTTTAAAAAAGGGATTAAGCTGAAAATAAAATGACTGAATGAATCCAGTCAAAACACATGCACTATAGCGGAATTGGTCAACTAAATTGGCCGTAGTGTATGAGTGTGTGTGTGTGTGTGTGTGTGTGTGTGTGTGTGTGTGTGTGTGTGTGTGTGTGTGTGTGTGTGTGTGTGTGTGTGTGTGTGTGTGTGTGTGTGTGTGTGAATGAGTATGTATGGGTGCTTTCCAGTGTTCGGTTGCGGCTGGAAAGGCATGCTCTGTGTAAAACATATGCTGGAATAGTTAGCGGTTCATTTCGCTGTGGTGACCCCTGATTACTAAAGGGATTAGCCAAAAAGGAAATGAATGGATGAATGAATTATGGAACCATTACTGCTTAAATGTTCTGTGAACATTCTGAAACACACAGACAAGTAAAAACAGACAAAAATCCAATGCTTCTTTCTTTAAGTCTGGAAACAGCAATAACAGTAATAACACAACATCGTAACTTTTATTTCAGGTTTATACTGCAAATGCAATCGGAACCACCGGTTTGGTAAACAAGCTAGCTTATAACTGGTTTCAACTGGCTTTTATCTGTGTTTAACTGTTTGTACTTGGGTTATAACAGCTTACAACTATCATACAACTGCTAATTACTGCTTTTTAACTGCTTGAGCAATTATAAGCCTATTACAAGCAGTTATAACTCCGATCAAAAGTTATATATTATTGTAATGCTTTATTATATTCAGTCGTGTGCACATTTATAGGCAGTTGGTTGCCAGTTATAGGCAGTTGTAAGCCATTTATAGGTGGTTGTGTGACTGTTATAGGCAGTCTTATGCTCAAAATATTCAGTCATGTGTCCATTATAGGCAGTCGGTTGCCAGTTATAGGTAGTTGTAAGCCAGTTATAGGCAGTTGTGTGACTGTTATAGGCAGTCGTATGCTTATTATATTCAGTCATGTGCCCGTTATAACTGTGTACAGCTGATTTTAATTGATTACAACTGGTGTATAGCTGTTACAACATCCTTTACACTGCCTAAAAATTCATTATAAGCCTATAAGCAGTTATAAGATGGTGAGAGCGGCTGATCAGGTCTGCATGTGTTGTCGTCTGCTCAGATGTTCTTGAATCTGCTTCTGGAAGACTCTCAGTCCCAGTTGAGCATGAGACGCTTCATTCAGAGCTTTATTCTGCACACACTGCTGAAACGCCTCAGTGGAGGAACACACAGTCTGATGCCACATGAGGAACAGGCCTCGAGACGGAGCCCGGACCACCATCATACCACTGTGCAGTAACTTCCTGTAGAGATGCAGGTCTGCTGTGTCACTTCCTCTCGCTGAAAACGCACCAAATCCACCTTTCAGAAGAGTCAACAATGAAGATTAGATGATCTGAGAGATTTAACCACACCAGTGCTCACCAACCTGTTTAGACCCAAGATCTACACAATTAAATCATGACAGAAACATAAAGCTGCGGTTTTCATTTGCATTTCCAGCTCATGGCCTTTTTAAAAGCACTAGTTTAATCTACTTTACATTTTGTAATCGATGCAACCAACAAAACTTGACAACTAGGTGACATTTGGAGGGGGGAAATTGAATATAAAGTATTCAATAGCATGAAGCATGAAATATGAAGTGCCTCTATATACATATATATATATATATATACATATACAAACCTTTTTACCAATCTTTTATATATATATAAATATAAAATTATATAATATTGACTGTAAAGCGAGTTTAAAACTATTAAAAACTGCTTTTATTCTAGCCAAAATAAAACAAATAAGACTTTCTCCAGAAGAACAAATATTAGAGGAAATACTGTGAACAATTCCTGAATCTGTTCAACATCATTTGGGAAATAATCAAAAAATAATACATTCTGACTTCAACTCTACATGTCAATTTTTGCAGCAGTTGCAAAAAATAAATACAGAGAGATGCATTACTTAAGATACTTTTTAAATCATTTTTTTTAACATATTCTTCTGTCATTTTGGGGATCTAGTAGTCCATTGCGATCAACGGGTTGGTAACCACTGATCTAAATTAGAGTCTCAGAGTCTCCAATACCTGCGTTCATGAAATCTGATCTGTACAGACACGCAGTGCTGAAATCATCATCCTTCCAAAATCCATAGTCCTTCCTGACCACCTGCAGATCAACAGAAAGGATGTATTTGATATATAAAGACTGATATTTACAGCCGGTCACCTCGTGTGTTTTCTGATCCAATAGCTCTGTGATTTCTGAAAGCATTTTCCATTTGCTTTTAACCACATGACTGCATCTCTGCTAAACAGATATGATTCTAATCTTTAAATCAAGCACTATATGCAAAATCTAACTAGGTTATGTCAACTAAAGCACCAGATACGCTGCATTGTATGTTACATTATTATTTACAAAAACATAAGCTATATGGGATGTTTGGCATTCAAATAATTTCATATGCAAGTTTGTAAATTATTACAAGCACACAAGGCTGATACGGGATTATAATTATCACAGGCTAAATGAAACCTCTATTTTTGTCATACAGACACGTGCAAGACCTCATTCAAAACTGTAAAGGGTTTACATTAATGTGTGTATAACCAGCCTGATCTCATGAGAAAACGTAAGTATTTTACGTTTTGGCAGTTTGGTGGCTAATTCGTACAAATTCATACGAGTTCAGTCGTAAGAAAATGTACGATTTTAAAAAGGAGGCGTGGCACCTAACCCCACCCCTAAACCCAACCGTCATTGGGGGATACGCAAATCGTACTAAAATGTGCGAATTAGATCGTACGAGTTTGTACGAATTAGCCACTAAATGAAAAAGTTACGAATTGCCGTGAGATTGTGTTGGTATAACACACTCTCCTAAAAACAAAACAATATGTATTTTGTAAATGAATGGATTGCTATATTTTTCTATTATTATTCCTCTTTTCACAGAGATCATCTACACCCTGCTGAAAAATCCAGCTTAAACCAGCCTAGGCTGGTTTAAGCTGGATTTTTCAGCAGGGTAGTGCTGCATTTCTGTGGTTAATGCTGCCGTCTGATATTAATTTAACAGTTTAATTTCATCATTTCACTGTCAAAAATAATGCAAAACAAACATTTCAAACTGTCGTCTGTGGCCTTCAGCTGCTTATGCATTTGTGCTTGTATCACTGACGGTTATATAACCCAATCTACATGCATTTTACTTTTGTTTTCTGGGAGGAGTCAAATTTACATTCGTGATTTCAACAAGCAGATGCATTTAGACCTGTTCAGCTTCACATCAGTCTGCGTGCTGTGATGTTAGTTTTCTATTAGATGATCTGACAGATGTGTGTGCGTGTGTGTGCTTGTGTGTGTGTGTGTGTTTGCATCATTAACTCTCCTGTCATGTTCCCATCACACCCCTTACTTTAGTGTTCCCGGTCAATATTGACCGCTCTGTTTTTACTGCTGTTAAATTAGCACGAAAAACATTTTTCACCACCAAATGTTTAATCAACATTCTTTAACTCTGAACATTGTCTTAAAGTAGTGTTTAACATGCATTTATAAAATTAGACATAAAATAACTGCAGTGAAAACACAAATAGGCACTGAAAATGCATTACAAAATGAACAATAGATGATGGAAATCAAAATACTTTGCTTTATTACCAATAATCAGCTTGCTAAAATAACTATCACCACGTCTGACCAAAGAGATTGAAATTTAAACCCATTTGAATGATTTTGCAACTAGCAAAGCACCAACAAACTGTATCCTTTCCTGTGTATTAATTGCTCAAACTTTCATTTAGTCCTTCAATTGCACTATAATAGTGTACTAATGTATTGAATCGTGAATGAGTGTATAGACGGTGATTAAGGACACAGCACTAGCACTAGTTTTACTCTGGCCATTTTTGAGTGACATGCTAATGGTCTAATCTAATAAAAACATTTATGCTAAGCTAATTCAATTCAATTCAGCTGTATTTGTATAGCGCTTGTAGATTGTGTTAAAGCAGCTTCACATAAATAGTCATAGTTACTGGATCAGTGTAGTTCAGTTTTTAGTGTTTAAGTTCAGTTCAGTTTAGCTCAGTTCAGTGTGGTTTAAAATCATTACTGAGAGTCCAAACACTGAAGAGCAAATTCATCGATGCGTAGTTCTACCAATCCTGAACCATGCGAGGCAGTGGCGACAGCGGAGAGGGAAAAAAAACTTCACCTGATAGGAGAGTGAAGAAAAAAACCTTGAGAGAACCAGACTCATTTGGGCACGACCATTTTAATTTCTCCGCTGGCCTAAAGTCTTGTGCAGAGCATCAGTCACCGTGGTGGAGGCTAGAAGGTGGCCTCAGCGAAGACTCGTCTGTCCCTGGAGCTCAGCTAAAAGTGCTGCTAGACCCAGAGATTGGTATGAATTTGTGCAGTCTGAGGAGTGAATATAGTCTGGAAACTCATTTATTCCTATGGTGGTCACTTTTGACCGGAAACACCACAGGTGTAACAAAGTTGATAAAAGCCCTCAAAATTCAATGAAAGAGGTCATCATCACTTCTATATGTTTAAGTGCATATTGTGGAGGATATAATAAGATCTCAAGGCAATCAGAAATAACACACAATATTTATGAGTGTTTTCAGTTGTAAATCGGTCAGATTTGACCCGAACACAGCAGGAAGGTTAATGTTGGTCTGCAGATATAAATGTGTGAGAGAGGGTGTTTGCGTCATTAGTGTTGGTCTGCAGTTCTCCATGTTCGCAGCCTTCAATTGTTGCAGATGTGTAATGTTGTTGTGCTGATCACTCTAAAGCACAGGTGTCAAACTCAGTTCCAAAAGGGCAGCAGCTCTGCACAGTTTAGTTCCAACCCTAATAAAACACACCTGATCAAACTAATTGAGTCCTTCAGGCTTGTTTGAAACCTACAGGTAAGTGTGTTGGAGCAGAGTTGGAACTAAACTGTGCAGGGCTTCGGCCCTCCAGGAATTGAGTTTGACACCTCTGCTCTAAAAAAATAACTCAAGAGCTCTGTTACCACTACATAGTTTAATACACTGTTGTAACTTAAAAATTCTAAAATGCTGATTAGATTAAAACTTTTAAGTAGCCAGAATAACTTTATTAAGTTTTCGAAACAGGTAAATATTGATAATTATATCCATTTAAAATTGCGGCTAATTTAAAGGTAAATTTATCTGTCAGTTACTTTAAAACAATATTTAACTTGTAGCAACCCAATGAAATTCACACTAATGGATTTGTATTTTTGAGTTTTGTTATTTTTTGTACTGATAATATGGGACAGTGCATGTTTTTGTTTTGTAAAAAAAGGAAACCTGTGGTTTAATACAAATAAAAAATTACCAGTAAACAAAAATGTTGTTGTTCAATGTTTTTCTTACAAGCATGAACAGTAAATTCGAAAACAAACAAAAAACTTTAATTTTTATTTTATTTTAATTTAAAAACTTATTTTGAGTACTTGATTTAAAAATCTGAGTTTTTTGCTATGTGAAAATGCCTTAAGGAGGAAAATATTTGGCTAACATAATAAAGTTTGTTGTCTGAACCTCATTTTGTTAGATGCTGTCGTAACTTGAATATATTAATGCAAGCTGTTGCATTAATTTTGTTTTGTTTTGTCAAAACAATAATTTTAGAGTGCAGTAAAAGGCCTCAGCCCTCTGTCAGTCCGTCATCACAGTGCTTCAGTGTTCTTCTCCTATTATTATTCCCTCCAGAGCTGTCTTGATCATCAGTCTGCGCTCTCGTCTCACGTCTCCAGAAGCCTCCTCGTTCATTGCGTTTGGTCTTGGTCTTCTTTATGCGCAGCTCAATTATTAGGGGAGAACAAACAGCACAGTGGAGAATCCCAACAGTGCCGCACACTACACTCCTCTCAGCGATATCAGTGCATGAAACTGATGATTTACTACTCTTGTTTGGAAGCTCGGCTTTATTCTCAAATGTTTAATGCGATATTACATCTAATTTACATCTTTGGATGGAAGCATGGCTGCTGACAGTGACTTTAAGAGCTCTTACCATCTGCTGTTGAGCAGGAGGAACGTGCTGGCCGTAGAGGAGTTCTGGATTATACAGACTGAACATCACTGGATAGAAAACCTTCTGACCTGCGACAGCGCACAAACACACCAATAAGAGTTCAGTGCATGACCTCCAACAGTCTGAGATCACATGAAACACACTGACTTTAACCCATATAACCCTTGTGTATTTTTCAAGTTTGGTTCTGTTGGTGCTGTTTTTGCCCCATTGACTTCCATTATAATCACATGTATTGATAGCAAAGCCATGGCGGCATATCATGCATTCTTGTTAGGAAGAGGAACAATTTGTCATCTTTACTACAGATAACCCACGCCAACACGGGGAGAACATGCAAACTCCACACAGAAACGCCAACTGACCTTCATTGTGTTCATATTATAACAAATATTCAAAGCTTTGAAGCCATGCAAATTGGTTCAATTTCTCTTCTAAAATCTCTCTACCTGGTTGCGCGTTGATGCGGCAGGAGTTGAGGAATTCTGCAGTGAAGTGAACATTTACATCACAGAAGAACAGGAGCACGTTGTCGTGTTTCCAGGCTCGAGCTCCAACATCCAACGCTCGACTTCTGGAGAAATCTTCATTCAGATGGATCAGAGTCATGTTCCTGTACTTCATCCTCCTGCAGAACACACACACGCATACACACACTCACACTCATCTTGTATTCAGTAGAACAATTTACAGGAAGACTTTATTCTGATGGTCCCTATTGCACATTTTGTAGACTAAAAGTTACTACATGCCAATTACTTCTCATTTGAGTGTTATTAGTCTGTCTGCGGCGAGGCAGTGGCGCAGTAGGTAGTGCTGTTTCCTTACAGCAAGTGGGTCGCTGGTTCGAACCTCGGCTCAGTTGGCGTTTCTGTGTGGAGTTTGCATGTTCTCCCTGCCTTCGCGTGGGTTTCCTCCGGGTGCTCCGGTTTCCCCCACAATCCAAAGACATGCGGTACAGGTGAATTGGGTAGGCTAAATTGTCCGTAGTGTATGAATGTGTGTGTGTGGATGTTTCCCAGAGATGGGTTGCGGCTGGAAGGGCATCCGCTGCGTAAAAACTTGCTGGATAAGTTGGCGGTTCATTCCGCCGTGGTGACCCTGGATTAATGAAGGGACTAAGCCGACAAGAAAATGAATGAATGAATAGTCTGTCTGCTTAATAGTCTGTCTGCTAAACAGACATCCCAGGTAGCAAAAAAAGTCTAGCCCAGATTTGGCCTAAAGCTGGCACAGTAGGCGTTCGTCCGGCACTGGCATACAGCATGTGGGGCAAACATGGCCCAGCTTTGGCAGAGGTAGCACCGTTTTTAAAGCGGCACACAAGACTTAGGCCAAATATCAAATGTAGTATTTGACCCAGATGTTGAAAATGTATATGCGGGCCATGTAAGTTTGGACTAACTTGACCCACTTTTAAAAAACATTTAAATTATTTTTGAGTAAAGAAAAAATTCACGAAAAATAGCACGGCCATAAAGCGCAAAGCTTCATGGGTTTATCAAATTCTTTGCAGTCGTGACATACCAACATATCTGGCCCAGTTCGGGCCCAGTTATGGGTTATTAACTTGGCTGAAGCCTCCTTTCCACTGCACACTACAAACAACAAGCGACAGACCGGGAGTCATTCATATCAATGGAGAGCAGTCCGAGAGCTGCACACAGTTCCGATCATCTCCGTATGCGGAAAATTCGGATCTGAATTGAGCTGCGGATCTGTTGAAATATAAAATAAAATAGACCGTATGTGACCAGCCGACCGGATGTGATGTATTTTAGTGTTGTACAAGCAGGTCCGTGCGCAAGAGATGAGAAATAGGAGTTTATTTGGTTATTTTTTTTTGTATTATAAAAAGTCTATATTAAAAAAAACAACATTTCTGTTCTTAAATGTAAGTAATAAAGTAATAAAATATATATATTTTAATGTTGTCTCCACATTCCCTCCAATATTTGTAGCGGTCTATGAGTTTCTAGTATTCATTCATTCATTAAACCATGTAAACGCACAGAGAATAAAGGCTCTTGCTTTTGCCCTCCTTTATTTCGGACACAGAATCAGCTTCTCTCCCATGGTGCACGACAACACTGAAAATACTATGCGACTGCCACAAGGGGGCGTATTCCAAATGTCATGTGCAGTGGAAAGGCAGCTTTAGACTTGAGCTGCGTCCCAAATCGCATACTTATGCACTATTCTACGCCATTTTGTAGTATAAATAGTGTAAGTAGTGTGTTCACACTGAAAATTCTAGAAATAATAAGAGCACTTTAATTACCCAGATGATGCACTCATTCAGCTGCTAAAATGAAGTGTGTAATAGTGGACACTTCATGCACTCAACGACCGCAGGTTTGCTTACGTAGCGGAAGGGGCGGAGCTATCGGACGCACATGTTGAATAACTTTATTTATTTTGGATGGTGAAAGCAAAATTCTCCTACGAGAGTGATTATAGCGCCTCCCGATGGTGAATGCGGCAATACTCACGGCAGGTATTATTTGATAATTCGGTCGTTTATTTCACTGATTTGGCAACTGTCAAACGTCATCAGGGAAACGGTTTGAATTTCCGCTTAGTAAAAAAACGTTAGTGTGCCATTTGGGACGACACTACATACATATACTATCCTGTTGAGTGTGTAACTGCATAAGTACATAGTGCATGAGTGCATAGTGTATAGTGTGCAATTTGGGACGCAGCTATGGTCCAGATATGGTCCATGTTTGGCCCTTGTATGGAAGCCAAACTTGGTCCAATCATGTACCGTAATTCACTGCATGAGGGCCAAGCAAAAGCTGATTGTGTGGGCCAGATCTGGGCCAGAGAAATTTTGCTATGGGGGATTTAACTGACTATAAGAAACTTTTGCAAGTCAACTTACACTAACCCTAACCCTTACCTAACAGTCTACTGATAATCTAATGAGGATTAGTTGGCATGTAGATGTAATGTAGCCTAAACTCAACAAACAGACCATCAAAATAAGTGACACACAATTCACATCTTACAGGAGATCATCCTACCTCGATATTACGTCCAAAATTCCCTTCACTTCTTCCATCTTTTCAGACCCAAAGAACACCACGGTGAGATGCGTCAGTCCATCCTGACCAATGCAGACCTCGCTGACACACACATAAATCAAGCATGTTTGTGAACTCCTTGCAGAATCACTGAGTAATTTTAACAAAATGAGAGACTAAATTGCATGTTATTTTAATTTAGTAATGTCCTGAGTAAGATATTTTACATAAACTGTTCAGATGACAAAAAACCTGGCTGAAATGATTAAAATAACCTGATGCAAACGTTTGTGAACCCTTAGTTTTTAATACTGTGTGTGTTTACCTGATGTACCACCATTGTAAGGCTTTTTTTTTAATGATGATGATTAAGAAAAGGGGGTGAACACTTTCAACGTTTGAAGATCCGGGTAAAATGTACTTTTAATTTGTCTCCAAGGACAAAATAAGCAAAGATCTGCTGTTATTTCTGATGGATAGCAAAACATTTAAAATCAAGTAAAGCAACGTTCTTCTCAGAAGATT